CCTTCTCCTCCCTTCCAAACCAGGGGAGTTTGCATTCGGCTCAGCGAGCACAGGGGAGTCAGGCAGTGGGTGTGTTTTATGTCAGGTCATCTCCATGCACTGAGTCAAGGAGTCATCCCAGGAAGGGGCAAGAATAGGAGAGATGGGGGAAGGGAAGAAAGAGAGGAAAGGAGGAATCCAGGCAGGGGTTTGCAGGGCTGTATGTGGAGCAGCCCCTGGGATCCAGCATTAGTCAATCAGCTCCTCCAGCCCGCCAGCCCATTCAGAGTGACTACTACTCACCAGCGTATGAGGTCCCACAGTCTGGCCAACACTCAGTCAAAGGGCTGAGTCAGACCCTCGCCCTCCCCAAGGAGAATGAGCTCGGCCAAAAAAAGCAAGAGATGTTTTCAAGCCAGGGTTTTAAGTCTGATTTCCGAACTCCCCCTGCTCGCCCCCAGGGCGTGTGACAATTACTCCACTGCCAGCTCTCACAAATGTATAGCCAGCCAGGCGACACTGGCCCCTGCTGCTGGAGCACTTGCTAAAGGATCCAACTTCCATCAGGTTTCCCTTGTGCTGGACACTGAACAAACATGGACTCATCTCAGAAGGGACCACCAAACATCCACTCTATGGAAACCATTTCTAATCCCTTTTGAGCTGGGCAGGCTTAGACCTGGAAGGCTCTCCTGCTAATTCGCAATGCCTCAAGGCATCAAACTTCCACCTAAGTGTAATAGTACACCTTTAAGAAAGAGGCTGCTTAATGGAAAGATACGTGTATCAGATCAACGTCTGATCCTTTTGGAGTCTGCACAGGCAGGATCTTCCACCTTCTACACGCACAGAGGCATAGTCTCCTGCACACTACTCCCGGCCTCAAAACACAAGCTACAGTAAAGTGTCCCACCCATTAATCAACCCATTAATCAAAAATAAACACTAAAATGCAACAAAGCTAATATTAACATCCCATCCAAATTCTCTTCTGAATACAGTGTTTTGCAACAGAAATTCACTCCAATAGCTCCAATTATTCCAGGGTCTTCAGTTCAGTCCAAAGTGATGCTAACTTTTGTCACGTATACATTATTGCCCCTCTGCCAAACATTAGCAGATTTTGCGGGCCTTTTTCATTTGGAGAGAAAATGGGTGTGGCAAAGTCAGGCACTGTGTGATTTGTTTAGTTACAAAATGTACACAAGTCCTTCTTCCTGGCACAGAGCTGGTAACAAACAGCACCCAGGTAATTCCTTCCCTCTTGTAGAAAGCCCCACTAAGTCACCTTCAACTACCTGAAAGGGGGTTCCAAAGAGGATGGAGCTCGGCTGTTCTCAGTGGTGGCAGATGACAGAACAAGGAGCAATGGTCTCAAGTTGCAGTGGGGGAGGTCTAGGTTGGATATTAGGAAACACTATTTCACTAGGAGGGTGGTGAAGCACTGGAATGGGTTACCTAGGGAGGTGGTAGAATTTCCATCCTTAGAGGTTTTTAAGGCCCGGCTTGACAAAGCCCTGGCTGGGATGATTTAGTTGGTGTTGGTCCTGCTTTGAGCAGGGGGTTGGACTAGGTGACCTCCTGAGGTCTCTTCCAACCCTAATCTTCTATGATTCTATGACCACCGCCCTTTTCCCAGGTGCAACTCTCTTGCCTCTGTCTTTCTCCACCATCTCACATTAGACTCACCCCCAAACTGATTGCTTAACCCACAGGCCTTGTTCCATCTGGGAAAAACGTTCTAGCTGAAAACACCTCATCTAAGCCCACTACATGACCTGTGGGACTATCCTCTTTTTGTGCAATGCCTTTGCAAAGGAAAAGAAGCTCAGAAAGGGCTAGAGGATACCCTTAATGACTCTCTGGAAGTAGTTACTGCATGTCATCTTTAACAGTTCCCATGGGGAGTTTCATCTTGGATGACATCAGGATTCCTGATTTCTCTTCCTGGCTGTGGGAGCAGAGTGTGTGTTAGTAATTACAGATAAAACATAGCCAAGTGTAATACCACCTTTGTTTTGGTCATCTGCAGAACAGAGGCTGTGACTTCTGGGTGTAAATGCACAACCTGCTTCCCTTTGAGCTAAAGAACCAGCTCTGTTAGTAGAGAGCCATTATCGGACCCATAGTAAACCACCACCTATGGTCTAGCCCGTAAAAAATGACAGAGAGCCACACTATTTTAGTGTGGGTTACACAAATACATAACTTCGCACATCCTTCCTGAAAGGTAGCATAGCAAAATGGCTGAGACTCAGCTCTGTTCTGTCAGAAACCTGGGGTCTATCCCCAGCTCTACCTGAAGTGACTTCATGCAAACTCTCTATTATCGTACCTGTAAAATTGGCGAGTGAGAGTTACTTCCTCCTGAGGCCTTGGTTAATCAGAAGAGTTGTGAAGTGGTGCACAGAAAGAAACATGAATAGCAGCATAAGCCAGCCGTATGGCTGCTTTGCGTCAACATAACTGTGAATCTGGCCATGGCGCTAGGTGCTCTACAATCAGACAGAGACAGTCCCTGCCCCAAAGAGCTTACAGTCTAAATGGGGAAAATAGACAACAAGTATCAGAATGTCATTATCCCCATTGTACAGAGGGGGAAGTGAGACACAACAGACTAAACAACCTGCCTAAGGAAGGCAGGAAGACTGCCTTCACACAGGAAGGCTGTGGCAGACCTCTTGAGTCCTGGTCCAGTACTTTAACCATACTATCTGCCTTCCTCCATGGGACCTTTGGTCCTGCTTCCAGTCCTTTCTATTTTTCTCTAGGTGCCCCAAATACACCCATCAACAAAGGTGGGGAACTAAGCGTAGGGTAAATAATGTAATACCTGCCCTTAGTGATTGTGCTAGCGCTTGTCAAAAATACATAGATCTGCCTTTGATACTGACTGTAACTAAGCAATCCCTTCTGCAGCAATTACAGAATAACACATCTGAGATAAGGACTGACTCAATTTTCTTATGGCTTGATAGTTCTCCCACCCCCCCTGCAAGCTTACACAGAAGTGGGTAGAAATGTCTTATTAGTGCAAGTAAGTGACCCCTCTGAATGTGTGAATCTCAGTCAATGCCGATGCCTTGGGACTGTTGCTAACACATATCCCAGAAGTTCTGAGTGTATCAGTGCTGATTTAATTAAAATGTCTTGACATTTACACAGCTCCCCTGAATGTTAATAAGAGCCGACCTGCTTTCTTTGAAATTATCTGGAACTCATTCTATATTAATTTGACTTTTCCATAACAAAAATCCTCAGCAATGTAACTGTTTCCCCTCACGCGCATTTACAGAGCTTCAAAAGGAGGAGCGTGACACTCCATAACGGTGCTGCAATGCGACCTAGAAGCTAGCGAATCCATGAAGGTGAATCAGTTGAATACAAGTGACTTTGCTAACCAGTGTTTTGATGGGTTTGAAATTTAAAAAACTGAAAGGATGGAAGAAAGGCTGCAATTACTGGGTGCGCCTAATGCGATGCTTAGACAGAATGTGAAATTTACCAACCAACATAGTGCAGCTATAATTAAAGACAATGTTTCATGGTATTTTAAAAATAAGTCAATGAAGGGTGTATAAAAAGAATTTAAACTCTATATCTGTTGGTGCTCCCATTGGGCTGGGGAGGGGAGGAAGGAAGAAGTGAAGGCAGCTGGAGAAACATGCTGCTGTAGATTTGTTCAAAGTAGTTATGGAATTCTGCACAGAAAGAGGAACCCTCAGAGCTGGGCAAGGATAATCTATTCAATGAGCTTTGCTGTGTTGCAATGGAAGTGGAGCTGCTCTGTGATAATTTATGAATGCTATGTGTTGTCCTGGTTACTGGGATGGTCAGTTAGACCGTGAGCATGTGGGCAGGTCCCACCAGCCAGACACCTGGGGAAGAATTCGTTGTAGTAACTCAGAGCCTCCTCAACTAGTGTCCCATCACCAGCCATTGAAGATATTTGCTGCTAGCAGTCGCAGCTCGGCTACATGCCATTGTAGGCGGTCTCATCATACCACCCCCTCCATAAGCTTATCAAGCTCAGTCTTGAAGCCAGTTAGGTTTTTTGCCCCCACTGCACTTGAAGTCTTTACATCAAGATTTGGGGACGTCAGTAACTCAGCCAGAGGTTCTGGGTCAATTACAGGAGTGGGTGGGTGAGGTTCTGAGGCCTGCCATGTGCAGTAGGTCAGACTAGATGATCATGATGGTCCCTTCTGGCCTTAAAGTCTATGCGTCTATACATCTATGTTTACTCTACATATGTGGTGGGTTAGTTTACTAGGGGCTGTAAGGAAAAATCTGGAAGGGCAAAGAAGGGTTTCAGCTAAGCCCTCCCCTCAGCAAACACTTGGAGGCTGTAAGGTGGCTCTGTATTGTCGGTGGCAGCGGCGGCTACCCCTCAATATGAGGATGATGTCTGCCAGGGGGGAAAGACATTGATGAGGCTTAAGATGGCCGAGGAGTCTAGTTCGTGCTTTACAGGTTTTTCTGCATATGTGATAGATAATTGCTTGGAGAGAGCACAACTGCTGGCCGGGACGCTGTATCCTTTCCTTTCTCCTTTGCTGTTTCTCAGCCTCTTGAGCAAGGCGATTCTCTTCAAAATGGGGAGAGGCTTGGTGTATGATGTGACGCCATTGCAGTGTGTGGCCAGCCAGCTCTTCCCAATTCATGGGGTCAATGCCTCCCTTCTTAAGATATACTTTCAGAGTGTCCTTATAGAATTTCCTCTGTCCCCCATGGGTCCTCTTATCATGACTAAGTTGAGAAAAGAGGACTTGCTTCGGAAGACAAGTACCAGCCACCCTCATGCAATGGATAGCCCAGCGAAGTTGATGTTTCATAATCTTTGCCTCAACACTGGTGATGTTAGTTGCAGAGAGAATGCTGCCATTGGTGCGATGATCTTCCCATCTGATACGGAGAATCTTCTTAAGGCAGCGCTGCTGGTACCACTCCAGATGCTTAAGATGGCTTTGGTATGTCACTCATGTCTTTCAACCATAAAGAAGAGTGGGGATGACCCCTACATTGTAGACCAGGGTCTTAGTTTCCATCTGCAGATCTCGGTCAATAACGACACGACGGAGCAACTTCCTGAAGGATATGCTGGCGCAACGGATCCTACGTTCAATCTCCATTGTGGGTCTCAGTATATACCACTAGTCACAGCCTCTTGAAGGGAAGAATCACAGGTGCTGAACCCAGTTGGACTTGCTGGGTGAGCATGGTGGATACACGGGGTACTGCAGCCCAGAGTCTGGTCTAAAAGTGGAAGGATCGTGATTTCCGTCCCCAGAAAAGTAAAGGCAGGAGGCTTGAGGGGTTGCACTCAGAGAGACCTGAAAGGGGACCGAGGTGCAGCTAGCCCTGCAACCACGGTAGCTATGTGATGCACTTCTTAGTCTGTCTGGGGGAAATTGACTCCACCTGCATATTTGGGCTCAATGTAGGGAAGTGGAATTCCCACCCCCGCAATGACAGCCAGGGGACTTCTGGACAAGTATCTCCTCGTGGTTGTTATGCTATTTTATGAGTTGGAGTAGCATCCGCAGCCCCTTCCCTCCAGTGTAGTGGGGCCACTGAATCCACATAGACAGTGCTCCAGAACCCCTTCCCTGGCCTGTCCCCAAACTCACCTTCAGCACCAACCTCACAGGAGTTTAGATGAAGACCAGTTCCATTGTGTGCCACTGTACCAATGGCTAGGCTGCTGGTATGTTGTGACCACCATCAATCATGATGCCCAGTGTTGCTTCATTGTTTCCTTGTGTTCCGCCATCTGTCTGTATCTGTCTGTTGTCTGTCTTATACTTTGTTTGGAAGTTCTTTGGGGTGGGAACTGTCCTTTTGTCCTGCGTGTGTACAGTGCCTAGCACAATGAGGTCTTGGTTCATAATAGGGTGACCAGATATCCCGATTTTATAGGGACAGTCCTGATTTTGGGGACTTTTTCTTATATAGACTCCTATTACCCCCCACCCCCATCCCGATTTTTCACACTTGCTGTCTGGTTACCCTAGTTCATGATAAGGGCTCCTAAGCACTACAGTATTACAAAGCATAAATATAACCAAACTCACTTGGGCCAACAGTGGGGTTTGAATCCTGGGGCTTATAGAGTTAAAAGAATGGGCCACTCATTCAAGGGCTAATACTAAGTCCCATAGCTGCTAACTCTGGTAGGCTCATTAACCTCTTATGTGGGAGGACAAAGACCCATCCCCTCCAGAGTGTGTTACAGCAGCACCTTTGTGCAATCACTGTGTGGGTTAATCTCCTTGATACAGCCCCTTTGCTGCTGTGCCTTCACTGCTATTGCTAGCTGAGCTAGCTACATTAAAGCTAGCTTGGTATGTCCACAGGGGCTGCAGTCACACCTGATGATTGCAGTGTAGACAGACCCTAGGGTACGTCTACACTTACTTCCTGGTTCGGCGGCAGGCAATCGATCTTCTGGGATCGATTTATCGCGTCTTGTCTAGACGCGATAAATCGATCCCGGAAGTGCTCGCCGTCGACACCGGTACTCCAGCTCGGCGAGAGGAGTACGCGGCATCGACGGGGGAGCCTGCCTGCCGCATCTGGACCCGCGGTAAGTTCGGACTAAGGTACTTCGAATTCAGCTACGTTATTAACGTAGCTGAATTGGCGTACCTTAGTCTGAAGTGGGGGGTTAGTGTGGACCAGGCCTAAGTCATTTAGAAGCCTAAGTCCCATTTTCAAAAGTGACTTAGGGCCAGATTTCCAGTGGCATTTAGATGCCTAAAGATGCAGCTAACTCCCATTGAAATCAAAGATATGCACCTAACCTGCTTATCCCATGAGACATCAAGCAGTATTTTTAAGCACCTCAATACTTTTGAATATCTGGCCCTTAGAAGCCCAAGACATATTATCAATGAGATGTAGGCTGCTAAGTGCCCAAGTCACTTTTAAAACTGGGAGTTAGATGCCTAAGGCCTGGTCTACACTACGACTTTAATTCGGATTTCGCTGCGTTAATCCGAATTAACCCTTCACCCGTCCACACTACAGAGCCAGTTAATTCGAATTAAAGGGCACTTAAAATCGATTTCTGTACTCCACCTCGACGAGCGGAGTAGCGCCTAAATCGATTTTGTTAATTCGAATTAGGGTTAGTGTGGCCGCACACCACCGAATTACCGTGGTTAAATTAATGGGGTAGTGTGGCCGCACACCACCGAATTAATGTGGTTAAAAACCGAATTAATGTGCTTAGTGTGGCCGCGCACAATCGAATTTATACAACCTGTTTCCCAAATTCGAATTATCTAAATTCGGATTAATCCCGTAGTGTAGACAAGGGGTAAGACACAAAGGCCTTGTCTACACTGGTGGCGCATAGGGTACAGGTAGCTACATGCTGCAGTGAAAGGCTCTGGCAAGGGGGAAGCAGTGGGGAAAGGCTCCAGTAGCTCCCTGCAGTGGGGAAAAGCTCCGAATCCAGCAGCGGGGAGGCAACGGGACACTGGGGGAGGCCATGCTTGGGCGTGTAGAGAGCCATGTAGGGTATAGTGTATATAGACCCTAAGGTTCTGGGGTGTCTTTACTCTACTCACCTAAGCAGCCCCTCACTGTTTATACTAATATTTATACCCACGTTAGGGGGGCCGGGCAGTGTAGGGAGTCAATACACCGCTGTAAGTGAATGTGAAAATACCCTTAGAAGCTTTGGGAAAAAATGCCTTAGATCTTGCCACAGCCCCTCTTTTCTGACCCCTTTCTAAAGCAAAAGGCTCTAATCTTCTCAGTCTGTCTCATTTTTCTCAGCTGCCTACGAGCCCTTATATTTCTTCTGCATCCTTTTCACCCTTCCTACAAATCTGAGGGAAGTTGCTTTTTTCCAGTGACTCTTGGTACAATCTTCAATACCTAATAATAGCCTCCAGAGAGCTGGCAGCCAACTGTTCCTGTGCTCAGAAATATTTTTTTCCATGCATCATATTATTCAGCCAGCCTGGTGTTTTCCCCTAATGGTGTGTCAATCAAAATTGGCTTTGAGAAGTCAATGGAGCTACACTGATTTGAACTGACTGAAATCTAGCCCTAAGAGTGACATTTACTCCTGTAGTGAGTGCCAGCCTGAGGCTTATGCCCCTCTTAAGTCCTGGTTAAGTCTTCAAAATAGGGTGTAAGGAGGATCTAAACAATGGACAGACCTTATGCTACTCTTTTGCACAAGAGTGACGGGGCGGAGGGGGAGAGCAAAACTATGTTGCCACCAGTGGGGGGAGGCAAAAGGGGCAGCTGCCCCGGGGGCCTGGCAATTTAAAAGGGCCAGGGCTCCCGCTACCACGGCAGCGGCCAGAACCCAGGGCCCCTTAAATTGCCGCCGGAGCCCTGGGTGGGGCAGGGCGGGCAGCGTGGAAGGGCAGGCTGGGGGAGGCTGACTCCCCAACCCCGCCCCTTCCGCCCGAGGCCCCGCCCCTTCCACCCGAGGCCCCGTACCGGTAAGTCTTTTATGTTACTTTCACCCCAGTTCACAGTACAGCCTTCAGAACGAGCAACTCTTCTGTGCACATCGCTCATGGCAAGGACTGTCCCTTTCGGTGGGTTTGGATGACACCGCCTCCTTGTAAAGGCAAAGGACAACACGGGAGGCAGCGGCATCAGCAGGGGTTGCAGTTTCAGTGCTCCATGTGGAGGGGCACTCCTGGAGGTACTGTGCCTCTTCTGGGACACAGTGCCCTCCGCCCAATGCCAGGCAGTGCTCAGAAAGCACAACGCTGCTAACTAGATACCAAATCACCCACTGCTGTGGAACACGGAACAGGCCCCTGACCACCCACGCCTCAGAAACTCTCTTTCAAGTCGGCTTAATGCATTATGTTAACATTTACATTACGCATATGCAGCAATACCTCCCATTTGAGCGAAGTAAATAACGCATTGGATGATGTTCGAAATCTTTTTTCAGAGGTTACTATTAATATGAGTTCATTTATAGCTTTAAACAAATCAGAGGCTTAGTTCACCCACTTACGGATATTTTTGCCTTGCATGATATGCTTCACAATAAAATGCCTATGATCGATGCTTAGCATGTCAGGGAGAGGCAGTTTGATGGGGTCAGTCTGGGATTTTCAAGGAAGCCTAAGAGAGGTAGTTGCTCAGCTCTCATTGTAATTCAACAAGGTATGTGGCTGCCTAACTCCCTTAGTCTCCTAAGCAAATCACAGTCTTGAAGGCTTTGGGTCAGGTTCTCTCCTGAGCATCTGGTGCTTTGCTATTCTCTTCCTCCTAACAGTAATTTTTTTTTGTTCTGTTTCTTTTTGTGCTGGGAGAACTATAGCCCCAAACAAACAAAAAGGTTAGTGGTGTCCCAAGGATAAAGATGTGGCAAGCATGGTACTAGCAGATGTTATCACAGACACCTAGGCAAGCAGGTTAGAGATAAATTGGCACCATAGGCAGGGCAACCCAACATTTCCCCCTTCAATCCACCCAGAATATAGCTGCAAAACTCATCTGTCTTGCCAGCTGCTCTGAACAGGTCCAGCTCCTACTCATCTCCCTTCACCTTCTGTATCACCTGCAGAATCCTGCCCAATGTACCCCCTCCTGCTTCACCTCTCTTGGTCCCTTCCAGTACCCCCATCTTTAAGCTAATAAACCCCTAATCTTCTTCTTCTTCTACTCATCTCCAGGCCTTCTTCCTCATAGCTCTTTGTGCCTGGAACCAGCTTGTACATTGGTCTGCCATCCCTCCATCCTATGCCCCTTTAAGTCTCTCTTGGAAACACACACATCCCTGTGAGGTCTGCAACACTTTATCCTTCCCTCTTAGTACTTGTATCCTTGAGTGTGGTGGAAGATAAAAGGAAATGAACGGAATAAATAGCACCAAGAATTCATAGAATCATAGGACTGGAAGGGACCTCGAGAAGTCATCTAGTCCAGTCCCCTGTACTCATGGCAGGACTAAGTATTGTCTAGACCATCCCTGACAGGTGTTTGTCTAATTTCCTCTTAAAAATCTCCAATGATGGAGATTCCACAACCTCCCTAGGCAATTTATTCCAGTGCTTAACCACCCTGACAGTCAGGATGTCCAACCTAATCCTCCCTGGCTGCAATTTAAGCCCATTGCTTCTTGTCCTATCCTCATAGCTTAAGA